AATTAAAATAAAGCGTTAATTATTTTACATCAAAAAAATAAATATTATAAATACAGTACATAGTAAATATATTTACCCTCTAATTTTGACGTACTAGGAACTTCTAAGTCAATTAATTGAGAATCTTGACAATCTATTAAAATAAATAAAATTATTTGTCATTTAATTATTTTATATAATTCAAAAAATAATATAAAACACAGTACCTTTATTATCAAGATATGTAGTAGCAATAAAAGATGAATTAATGGGCTTTGACAAATTTTTAAATGTAAATGCTCTACTGGTATAAATAGCATCAGGATCTTTTTCACATAAAGTTGAAATATTTTGTATTTCCTTATCAGCTTTTCCAAATACAGCCTTAACTTCTTCTACTTTATACCCATATTTTTCATTATCCTCATAATAATACCAACAACATAATATTTCACTTAATTCATTGGCTGTTGGTCTTTGATTTGGATCAGCATTCATACATCTATGAGCTAATTTCTTATAAATTTCGGGAGTTCCTTTTCCAAATTTTGGTCTGAGTCCATTACATATTTCCAATGCTAAGTTATTATCATGTTTTCTTTTATAAAAAGGAGGTTTTCCAGATGATACTTCAGCCATAATTACACCGAAACTATAAATATCTGAAGATAACGTATATGGTTCTCCATTTAAAACTTCTGGAGCAATATATGGTAACACACCAACTATTTTATTATCTGATTTCTGTTCATTTGATGACCTAGATAATCCAAAATCTGAAATAAAAAAAGAAATATCACTATCTGATAACATATTTCCACTATGAAAATCTTTATGAAAATATCCTAATGAATGTAAATTTTTAAGTTCCTCTGCTGCACCAGTTAAATACATAACTTTCTCATCCCATAAAATATTTTTAAAATTACTTGAAAGAATATTTTTCAAATTTCCTCTACTTGCAAATTGCATAATCATTATAAATTCTTCAGTTTTTGGATCTTTGGTCATCCCATAAAATTTTAAAGAATCTAATTGTGCGCAATTTAATTTCCAATGCGTTTTAAGCTATTAATTAGATTAAATCAAATAAATAAACAATATTTTTAAAAAAATTAAAAAAGATAAAATATAAATGAAAATATACCTCATTTAAATAATCAGCTGACATATTTTGTGATCCATTAAGCCTTTTCAAGGCAACTTTCATGGATTTAGGTTCTTCTTTTATCCAATTTCCATCATCTTGTTTAATGTATTTTGCATCACCATCAATCCAAGTTGCAGAATACACTTTTGCAAATCCACCTTCACCTATTTGTTTCATATCTTCAAATCTATCAAATGGAACCCATTTAAGAAATGATGGGGAATATTTACCATTACCAATATATTCCCCACGACATGTATCATAAATCGAATCCTTGATAAGATTATCAATATCATCATTTCCACTGGTCCAACCTTCAATTATACAACGAGGAACACATTCTTTACACCAAAATTTATCATTATATGGGTCGTAACAATTCTTATGATTAGTTTTTACCGAAATAGAATTTTCAGAGACATTTAATTCATTAAAATCAGATACTACTTGGGTTTCATTATTAGAACTCATTTTTATATTTTATATTTTATATTATTTCAAATTTGTGAAAAAAAAGAATTCTACGTTTGTATCTATGTATAATGGTTAAATATATATATATGTATGTATAATGGCGTTAATTTATAATGTAACTAACTGAATTTGGATAATTATTGAACCAACAAAATTTATGGGAACTGTCGTACTGTATAACGTACCTTTGTTCAGCAAATTTTATGAAATTGCAAATTTTTATAACGAAATTTCTTAACAATTCATAATATTCTACGATAAAATTATAGAATGATAGAATACTTTACCGATACAAACATTTATCATCTTTAAAAATTAATTTGCTAAAAGAAACAAAATTATAATAAATAAACTCACATATTTAAATTTATTACAATATAAAAATTTATTACGATATAAACTTTTAAAAACAGAATTAAATAAAATTTTTTAAGTTTTTCTCTATTTTTTTTTTTTTTCAAAAAAAAAAAAAAACAAATCAATTGGATTTTGATATTCAGTTTCTTAAATATTTTAAATATTAGAATATTTAAAAATTCGAATAATTAACCTATTCATAAACGGATCTTTATTAATATAAATTTTCAAATTTTTCAAAGAAAATTAAATATTAAATATTATGATTTATGGATTAAAAGGATAAAATGGATCTTAATAGTAATTATTGATTTTAAATCTCGCAAAGTAAGTTTATAAAATGTATTATATATAATTCATGAGAGAAATAAAAAAATGAGAGTAACAATCATTAACAAAGAATCCATCAACAAATTGATATACGGTAACTTTATTATTATATAAACCTTTGTAAAATTATACTACGGTACTTAAAATTTAATAAATTTTTGTAAGTTTAACTTTCTCCAAAATTTACGATATTTAATTACAACAAAAGTTTCAATTTCTTCAATATTATAAATTGTATTAGTATTTAAATTATTTTCATAATCACCAGACTTATTATTTGCATATAATTCATTATCCTTCATATATAATGAATTTTGACCAAAACAAAAAGCAACATTCGTACAATTTGTTATTATTGCATTTTTATGAATCAATATATGACTTGATTTCATATTTTTAATATCTTTACTATTTTCAAATGAGAAAATAAAATTATCTAAAGAATTATAAAATCGAACCCCATTAATATTAAGAAGATAATCATTCCTACTCCCTAATGAATTAAACCCAATAGAACTATAACCACCAAAAATCTTATCTGTATTTTTAACTTTAATTAAAACCAAACTTGCTACTCGACCTTTACAATTTCTTTTAAATGATTCATTATTAATACCATCATGACTACCACGATAAATAAGTTTAAATTTATATAATGAATCATTTTCAGTTCTAATAATAGAGGGATTTTTTTTATCAATCCAATTAGAAATTATATTTGCAAGTTTTGGATCAATAATTTTTGAATCAATTTTTTCTAAAAATTTAATTCTAACAGATGATGATAAATTTTTTGGTAAAGTATCTTTATAATAAAATTCTTCAATTTCATTATAAATATGAATAGGAATAATAGTTTTATAAGGACGAACTTTATCAAAAAAATCAGTACGAGAAATTTCCATAAATCTAATAAGTGGGAAAAATTGATCCAAAGTTTTCGTTAATGCTTTATAATTTTCATCGTTCCATTCAGATTTATCAGTATTCTCACTTCCAAGACCAGGAGTTTGTTCAATACCCCATTTAATTAAACGATCCCAAAGATTAATTTCATCAATTTGTAATTCATCTCTTTGAAGTAAGATATGAAGAGTATCCTTATCTAATGAAAGAAAGGATTCTGAATTGATGAATGATTCTGAATCTTTAAAGATAAATTCAAGACAATTATCTTGTAATTTATTAGATTGCCCAATTTTGAAAGCGAAACTAAGAACAAGACCGATATTTTTTTGAATCCAGTTTGATCGTTTTTCTACTAAATAATCTTGAACATAATTAAATAATTCTTCAATAAGTAATTCATCAGATGCAATTAATAATTCAAAAATATCCTCTCCCGATTTTTCCGTTAAATTAAGTTCACCAGTGTAAATATATCTTATTTATATAAAAAAAAATAACATATAATATAAAATTAAATTATTTGAATAGTATAATATAATTAGGTATATAATAATAAGTAAATTATGCTTACTTTAAAATCATATCAAAAACAGTTGGAGTTATATTTGGTTTACAAAACTTAATAATATTATCCTTCTTTGTAGTCCATTTAGCTTTGAAAGCACTTTTAAAATAATGAGAACGAGCGCGTAAAATAACCGAATGTGCTTTAAATTCCTTCATATTTTCGTTTTCACCAACTTGAATAGTAACATCAAAATCATCATCAAAATCATCGGCATTATTTAATACTAAGGAAAGGTCTTTTGAAAGACCAGAATGAGAAATTAAAGCCATTTTTTTTTAAAAAAAAATCGACCGTTTGTTAATGATATATATATAATCATATGTGACAGATTATGATTTATGACGTAGTATAATTGTTACGATTGTAATAAATCAATATTAAATATCAGTATAAACGGAAAAAATATTTTTGGACATTTTCAATTCGATCATTATCTATAATTTCTATACCTATTACCAATAATATATCTCAACTTTCATATATAATGAATCAGTTTAGAATGATTTAATACACGACTTATTTTCATATTTTGAATAAAGTTTATTTGATGAATAATAATAAAACTTTATCTGAAAATAAAGGTTTAATTACAAACTTGCTATTTTTAAATGAGTAATCATCAATTTCGTTATCATATTTATTTATGGTAAAAGTTTAAAATGGCAATATGAATCATTAATAGTACGAGTTGGTTCAATACCCATTTAAGCATCATATATATATTTTGCTTTACTTTTTCCAAAACACCTGTTGTATCTAATAAATTTTTAATTGAAATACTTTTCTTTGTAATATTACTTATAACTTAGTAATCATCAAAATCAATAGGTCGTGTTTATGGTTTTAAAACGAAAATAGTGTAGTTGCAAATTTATTAAGAAATCAATAAATATTCGTAGTAGTCCGTCAGATGTAGCGAATATCATTTACATAACTGTTAAATTAAGTATACCTGTATAAATATAAATTTAGATCCAACTTATTGCAATTTAAAAACCCTAGATACATATAAAACATAATATATTATTCTAGACTCTGGAAGAAAAAATTTTCTTCGGAGTTAAAATTTCCAATATTGATATTGACGTAAATAAATTCTATGTTACAAGTTTGCCTATATAAAGCAATGTATCTATTCCTTAAATCTTTAAGATTTCTTTTAACGTATGTATCGGATGTTCTAAGATTAAAAAATTGATCAATACGAATCCGTTTCCCGAAATTATCTTCTGTTCTTGGGAAACCTATTTCTCCTAACAGCTAGATTATTTAATTTTCCATACATAGTTGTAAATGGTATTATTATACAGGATGAAACTTTATTAATACCAATTTTGATTTTGAATTATAAGTAAAATGGAACAAAATTAGAATCAGAATTAGAATATATTTTATAGTGATGTTTATGTAACACTATCGTTTGTCAAATGAACTGTTTTTTTCAAAAAAAAAAAAAAATCAGAAATTTGAATATTTAAATTTTATTATAAAAAGTAGAATTTTGTCATTTGTCAAATATGTTCTATTCTTTTTAAAAAAAATCCGATGTGTTTATATAATTTCAAAAAAGATTGATTGTATATTTTTTTATCGTTATGGATTTCAGTTACTGTATTTCATAAAATTTTTTATCATTTGTATTTTTTGCCTAATAGGTAAAATTTGACACTATAATTATTTAAGTCAGTAAATTGTTATTAAAAACATGTTACTTTAAATAATTAATTATTATAAATTTATTTATAATCGATATTATTACCATAAATTAAAACATGATCAATATAGTAATATAGCTATTTCTACTATTTGTAATATACTATTGATTTATCACGTATTATATTATATTCCTTCAAAGTCCTCGGAGAAGAAACCACTTTTAATGTCTTCATTTTCAAATTTCTTATCAAATTTTGTATTGACATCTTTCTTAAGATCTTTAAATCCTATCAGATTCTATCTGAAAAATCATTCTTTTAAGGTGCCTAAAAATGTTTTGAGCGTCGCGGTCTGAATGAGCCGGGATAACAATCGACGTCATTATCTCGTGTTATGAATTTGGCCAAAATATATGAGCTTTTAATGTGACGAGATGACATATTTGATCCAAATATTTCGGAACCGATTCTGCATCTACCAAACTGATTCATCTTAACAGAAATCACTATTGAGCTCTCACTTTCATCATGTCCTTCCTATCTTCTGGGAATGATGTTTTTGTTTAGTTGATCTTGAACTACATGTAGCACATGGAAATATCCAAGTTTTCTAGCCGTCATCACTTTCATCTTTTTTTTGAGAATTCTTCAATACATTCAATTTTACGTTTTTGTGCCAATGATTTTGATGTTGAAGCGGTAGTCCCTTTAATTATTATATTTTTGTTGTTATCTGCATACCCTTAATGTTTTCTTTTTTAATTTCTCATTTAACCACCATTTCTCCTTCCTTTTTCCTGATAAAAAAAAAAAAATTTTTAAATTATTTAATATTAAATATAACATTAAAAATCATTAATAAATTATCTACCTCGTGCTCTCCTTCGTGATTGTTTTTATCTAGATGTTCACAAATGTAATCCGACAAGTTTCGCAATTCCGGCAAGGTGGCATCCTTTGTTTCGTTCGCACATTAATTGTGCACATTTTGATTGGAATATTGGGCCCCAACCTGGCTAGGTGATATCCAAACACAAGGCTCGTATCTATAATATCGTTCAAGGAGACTTTTTCAACTCATCAATCTCCTTGACATCTTTATGGCTGACTACCCGAAAAAAAATTATATCGTTTATCAATAAGGTATCCTTGATATCTTCATAGAACGAGGCAAACATATGTCTTTTCTCTAATAACTGCGTGAAAAGCTTGTACCGTAGAAAATAGGCGTCGATCTAATTTTTGCGCCGTTGTGTTCGTTTTATGGTATGTTAAAAAATATCGACACTTATAATTTATGTATATACAGTATATTTGCTTCTTATGTAACCGTAAGCAGAAGTTTAATGTTAAAGTACAACATTTTTTTGTTACTCATGGTATTTCCTCTTTCTTTTGTTTTCTTCTTACCCATTGTTCTATGAAAGAAATTTTTTTTTTACTATCAAATTTGTCACATAATGATTTGATTAATGGCGTATGATTTTAAATACTATGTATCAGCAGGTAAAACTATTTATAGTTTATTTAACGCCATTTGACTTCATATTACATGCGTAAAATATGTATGATAAGTTTTTTTTTCAACAAATCGTATTTAAGAACACAAAGTGATTTCACAATTGTATTGTTTTACTGCGCATTGATTAGTGAAATTTTTTATTTTTTTATTTTTTTTTTGATAAAAAATTTTTCTAATTTTATCTCATTAATCTTATATATATTTAAATAATGATACCAATTTCCGGACTTGATTTATTCTCATTTTCCACAAAAAGACTTTTTCCTTATTCAAGGTTGTTATATTTAGTTGTTTCCGAATTTGCCCGCCCCTGTTTACGGAATTCAGTAACTCGTGCGACGTTGACCAAATGTTCCGAATATTCCGACCATTCCGATCATTTTCTCGAATTTTTTTCTTTTCTTTGTGCACATGGAGTCTTGATTATTTAGCTTCACGAAAAAAAAAAAAGAATCTTTCCATATTGAACATTTCAAATGATGCAAATTTTTTTTTTTTTTTGTTTTGATTCGTGATACTGATACACTTACAATAAAGCTTCTTTTATTTGTACAACAAAAGTATAAAATTAGTAAGATCTTCAAAGGGGGTTTCTATATAATATTAGCTGACTAGCTGACTATCTGTTTTGATACGAAAATCCCTTTAACTTTAAATTAATCCCATCTTTTTTTTTTATGATCTTATATATAGAGTCAATTTCTTTCGTAGATTTTCTAAAAAAAAAAAAAAAATTTAACATTTTTATATATAAAAAGGATTTTTTTTTTTTGATTATTTGTTGTAATCATGGGTCAAAATTGTGAAATAAATGAAACTTCAATCATTCAAAATAATTCTTCTTCCCCGTCTTCTCCTTCATCACCATCCGCCATAAAAAAATCCTTTTCGTCCCGTTTAACGTATTTAATCCGACGTGACTCGACAAAAAATTCTTCTTCAAATAATAAATCATCTAGTCCTTCACAAAAACCTATAAAGATTCAAAAAACAGAAATGATATTATTAAATCAGAATGATCCAAATTATATTTCAGTAAAATCATCATTTAAAGGTCGACCACTTTCACAATCAAAAATTCTTGGGATATTTGAATTACGTATGCCAACAAAACTTGAAAAACGGCATGAAGCTTATAAAAAAAATTTAAGTAAAAGGACCGGAAAAAGTATCGAAGAGATTACTCACAGGATGTTTCATGGTACTACTTCATATTGTACACCTGAAAGATTTGTTGAAGAATTAAGTTATAGTCAAGAAAATGAGGAGGAAGAGATAAAAGAAAGGTTTCATGTTGAAAGAAAATTTTGTGAAAAAGATTGTGGCTTATGTGGAATTGTACAACAAGGAAACAAAACTAAATACACAAAAACTAAAAGTTTATTTAAGAAAAATAGTAAGTATCTTTATGGTGATACTTAGATTAGTATTAGGGTTAGATTAGGGTTAGGGTTAGAGTTAGGATTAGGGTTAGGATTATTATTTAATGGCAAAACAACTACGGTGATAAATAATTATTTGTCACTGTATAGTAACGACCATATTTAAATACTATATATATATATTATTTATATTAGTGATGCTAAAAAAATTTTTTTTTATATAATACTCATAATTTAGGAATGTGGTTTGCAAACGATCCGTGTACGTCACTTTATTATTGTAATGGCGTGGTAGTAAAATCAGTAAAGACTATGTTTGTGGTTGATGTTATAAAAAAGGCCCCGAAAGGAATTTTAATTGTAAATAAAGAAAAGGTAAGCGTATATTGTTGATTTTTTTTTTCTTGATAATATTGATTTTCAGAAATTTTTCATCTTGTTGTTATTTAGGCAACTTTACCTAGATTCTTAATATTATTTGAGATGTCAGGTAATTTCAATCGTTTTTAGAAATGCTATTATATGTTATTAAAAAAAAAAGGAAAAAGGAACGGAACGTACGTTTTAATAATATTTTGTTTTTTTTTTCCTTTTTCAATATCAGAATGTTATACATGATCTCGGGGTTTTTTATATATAGAAACATTTTTTCGGAACAATTTTTTTTTTCTTTTAACAACAAATCATGGAAAAATTCTTTTTTAAGATGGGATTTTTTTATAGATTAATAGATTATTAATTCACTTGGTTTAATTTAACCAAGAAATTTTGATCACTCATTCCATTTTGTTTATATTAATTGATCTTACAGTAAATATGATCTATTTTTTTTCTTTTTTGTAAATTTCATTCCTTTTTTTTTTTATTTTCGTGTATAGTCATCATTTTTTTGATTTATGTTGTAATATAACGGTCTTTTCCTTTATTTTTTACAAATTATATTTACTGTAAAAATCCAATTATTTTTTTTTTCTTCATAAATTTTTTTTATTTCTTTCTTTCATTCTTTTAATTTGCCAACCTTACCTATTATCAATGTCCTATTATAACGTCTCATATATTATTTTATTAATGTGATAGTGTGAATAAGGTGGATGCAAAGGAATTTGTGAGCGTTTTGATTGATTTTTAGTATATTATATGAAGTCCACATATTTTAGTGATTATTTTATCTATAATTCTCATATTATGAATTTTATTACATGTTTATAGGAATGTTTTTTAATAAATTCTTTTTTTTTTAAAAAAAAAAAAAAAATTTTAATAGATGCTTGAATTACCAAATTACATCAAAAATCGAGCACCAAGAAAGGTTCAAAAGATATTTATTTATTTAAAAAGATTTATTTATTTAGCAAGAGTTATTTATTAACAAAATGAAATGGAATCATTATAAATTTTATTTTCCCCATCGAAGAGAAGCTCCCTTTCATTCACTTCTCAAAATAGTGATTTTATAAGTGATCAGGATAGCAGGAGGAGATGAGTAATCCAATAATGGGGGTCTTCACAAAAAACGTGATTGAGATTGAGATTGAGATTTCATATAGAATTTTCTAAATTTCAATCTCAATCTCAATCACGTTTTTTGTGAAGACCCCCAATCCAATATAATCATCTACATAATAAGGATGAACTTTACTTAATAATTTTATTACACAAGTTTAAATCAAAATTTACAAAAGTTTACTAATAAAATTTCATTAATTAAATACAATATAATGTTATATACCTTATATGTAAATTCAAAATACATTATTTAGATGAATTGATATTATACTAATTACCTAATCTCTATTATAACTTATTAAGGGATGGATATTGCTTGAACAATTTTTAACTTTCTTTAAAAATCTTTTTTTTTTTTTTAATTAATACGAAATGAATTTATGACCGTAAAAAAAAGGTAGAGATGTTTAAAATATTAACTCAAAGGATGGATATCGTTTGAATAATTTTTAACTTTTCTAAAAAATCTTTTTTTTTTTAAATAAATACGAAATGAATTTATGACCGTTAAAAAAAAAAGGTAGAATTCCGCCATGGGCTCATAATTAATAGTAAAAAATATAAAAGTTTCATAACTCCTCTTTCAGAATACTCTTTTTTGCAATAATATTGAAATATTACGAATAGTATTCTGATAGAATTACAATCTAAATTTTTTTATTTTTTGCCTGTTACATGTCTTTTTAATATACTATTAGCCGTAGGTGTGAAAAAATTTTCAAATATTAACATACCATCTTGCTTATCGAGAGTATGATACAATAAGCCTATAGGCGTTTATCTACTGTACAACTGTGCGGCTCGGATATCTTCGCAATAATAAAAAAAAAAATCACAAAAAAAAAATCTCGATCAAATCCATCATAGATGTGCATAATGCGATAACAATGAATTTACTAAAACTATCGTATATCACGAGCTATAGTACCCGGGTATCTTACAAATTTCGGAGGTTTTGAACTTGTACCCGGGGCTATATTACATGGGTGGATACTATACATGGGGGAATACAAGCACATATATTTTACATATCAATCGGATATCAAAATTTAGGAAAATCTTTTTTGAGAGGATACTTACTATACATGGGGTAGTTGGGGTACTAACGTACTATGGCCCCATGATATACGATATACGATATTATCACGAAATTTATATAACATAAAATAAATAAATAAATGTTACGTAAACAAATTAATTTTGTTTTCTTCGCTTCGATTTCCTTTAAAAATAATTTCAAAGCTTTCAATCATTAAAGAACACATTTCAACGAATTTACACGATTAAAAATAATTTACAATAAATTTTTATCATTGGTTTAAAAGCTTTAATACACTTCCACTTCATAAAATTAAAAATAAAAGATCTTTTTCTTTTTCTCTTTATTAAGTATACCTTAATGTTCTTAATGATGAAAATTGCAATTTCTGTGTTATTTATACATATGAAGTGCTTAATTAATTTTCTATCTTATCAATAAATCCTTTTGGTCCTCAACTAACACTGAAAGTGAGGATAACATAATTCGATTATTAAAAAAAACTTCCCCTCTCCCTGTTCTCCAAACGAGATATAATAAGTGGAACGAGCATGTTTGACCTTAAAAAATAATATTCTAAAAAATTATGTAAAATAATACAAATGAATATGTGCATAATTGACCTATTGACTTATTGTATGTATGTGTAATAACGTGAATATGCGTTCGTAATAAATAAAATATCTAGTGTTTGTCGAACACTGTTTGACCTTATAAAATATTAAACTATTCTAAAAAATTTTGTAAAACAATAATAAAAGATACGTATAGAATGTAATATGTATAGCATAATTGACTTATTGTATGTATGTATAATATCTATAAATGGGGAATGATCTTAAAAGATGTAATTATAAATGAATGTGTAACATAATGTGCAAATGTATAGTGTAGAAATCATAACGAATGAGAAAATGTACAAACATAAAATGGAAAGTATCGTATGTTAAGTGTAATAACGGAACTAACTACGCGTTATATATATGCTAATAACGAATGAGAAAAATGTTATAATCAAAAAACGAAAAAAATGAAAAAGTGTATATATAATCTATGTAATTTAAAATAAGGAAAGAAACGAGAATATTGCTGTAGGGTACGATGAGTAACGAAAAAAAAAAAATATTTTTCAATCTTATTGAAATCCAGACGGTAAAATTGAGGATTCGAAACTATTATTATCGTTAAAATTCGTTCCGTTGTAAAAATTTTGTTCTAGATAATTACTTGTAATTTGTTGATAAGTGATTTGAGCGATTCGATTAAGAGAGTCAGTGTTATCTATCGAATTAATTCTTAACATACGATTCCGGTTTATATTATTTGCATTATTTGCAATTCCATTGAAATGATTCCTTCGCGAAGGTGATAAATCATTCCAAATAAAATTCGTTGTTAAATCAATTATATTCCGATCATAAATTTGCAATCTATGAGCTTCCCGGATTACACATTGATTTACTAAATCTTTTCCGGTTAATCTTCTACCCCATGATAGATCCGCGAGTGTTTGTACATTACGATGTCGAATGATTCTATTAAAATTTGCGAGTACATGATATTTAAACCGTTGTATGTTCATATCGAAAAAAAAAAATGTTTTGAGATGACAATTTAGGTGTAATATTTGTGGTATTTATGCATTTTTGTAATTAACGTAACTGATTAAATTTCAACACGTGAGCCTAGTGTTGTAATAATTAGTTGAACATAATAATCACTTAAAAGGAACTAAGCAATTTAAAATAATGAACAATGCTTACGATTTTATAATGTCAATAAGCCTATTGTTATAATTATTGAATTATTGCCATTTTATTTTACAACTGAATGTATCAATCAATGTGTACGCCAATGGTGAATGTATTACTTACTAGAGGCTGAAGAGGCTGAAGAAAATGAAAGGAATTTGCCCAATAATTTATAAAAACTTCTATTGTGTCAAATTTGTTAGACTACGTTTAATCATTCTTAAATGTAAATTACTTTGATTGACGCGCTATAGTATCATTAATTACACGTGTATTGAAACAAAGAACAAAAAAACAACACAAGAAAAAAAAATTTTTTTAAATAAGATTGTTTCCAAAACTAAATTTATTATATTTCTTTAATCATCCTTTTAGAATTTATTTTACGTAAACACAATGTATTCAAATAACTGTAATGTATCTAATTACTATTGTTATGTGCATTGAATTATGGTAGATATATATATATCTTTATAAAGTGATGCATTGACGTGAAGTGACATTTTTTCTTTGTTACAATTCGGATCGGGAAATGCTATGACATATGATAAATATTATAAATAGATTTTGATAAAAAAATACTGTACCACAAACCGCAGCCGCAGCAGTAGCCATTATTTACTAATTAAAATTATGAACCTTTACGATTATCTGTTAAAATTAGGATTTAAACAGAAATATAATGCTTTAAAATATAATACTTTAAAGGTAAATTTACCGTATATTCAATTTCGCTGCTCAGTTCATCTAAAAATAAATTTTTTTTTTAGGGGATTGAATACCTAGATCCTTCAAATAGATTTTTTTACTAATATTTTTCCTTATTTTTTCTTTCTTTTTTCTTTTAAAAAAAAAGAATTGTTTACTTTTTTTAATTGTATTGTAGAATTTATAATAAAGCCCAAAATAGAAATCCTTCAAAGATCACAAATTCACAATACCGACAATAAAAATAAAAATGGTAATTGGAAACTTCCGAATTTTAAAAATATTAAAAATTAATTTAGTTGATTCCTTTTAATAAATGAAAAAAAAAAAGAAAGAAAAAATCTTATGAAACCTGATGAAAAAATAACAATTTCAAAGTTTTTTTTTTCGAAATTTGATTTCTTTCAGGAAATTATAAAATTTTACTACAATTTCCTGGTTACACGGGATTTGATCATCATTCCAGTCGACTTTATAATCGAATATATACACGTCAAATAAAGTACTGCTTTATGGAAAATAGTTGTCCCTTCAATACTCCTTATACTGAATAATAAAAAATTGTGTAATTGAATTCGAATTTAACGTTTACCGTATTTTGCGAGCCATAGTACCCGGGCCGGGGTATGGTACATACTTTAGGAGGTTATATCCGGGGTATATTACATGAAGCGCTTAGGGGGTACAGGAATTTATATTGCGTAATTTATTTCCTAGTATTATACCCTGGGTATTTTACAAATTTTGAAGGTTAAAAATCGAATATCTCCCTGCAAAATATCCGGATACTTTAAAAAACCAAAAAATAAATTCATATAGGGTACTGTACATTGTGGCCCGCAAAATACGTTAATATTTCATTATATATATGTGATTTATGTTGTCCTCTTCTTTGATTTTGATTTTTGAATATGTAGATCTACTTCAAGTTCTTCTACTTTTCGCTTAAGTGTTATTTTCCAATTGAAGGAATTGGATTTTCACATTCAATTTTTTGTGATATTATTTTCTAGGGTAACGTCATAAATTTTGGACTAATTCATTCTATTATAAAAAAAAAAAAATTGGCTAAAATAAAAAATATAATTATCAAGATCTTACCCAAAGTGCAAGGTTTGTAATATTGATTGATTTTTTTAACCAAAAGTACTATGAAATCAAGTAATACATAGTTTATACCTCATTATTGACAAAATCTTTTAAGTTTTGAATTTGGTTCGATAAATTGAATTCGTAAATCATATTCAGATGATTCTTCGGTAGGTTTGGGGTTTGCAATAGGTTGGAGATTTTGCACCTGTTCTTCGGTAGATTTGGAGAGGGTACAATTGACTGGAGATTTTGGTTTTGTTGCGTCTGTTCTCCTGTTGGTTCGGGAAGCTCGATAGGTTGGAGATTTTGATTTTGTTAATCCTGTTCTTCATTTGATAAAGTAAAAAAGTGGTTAAATTATAACATAAGGTCAAAAGCGGAAAATACAATGAAAAAAAACTTACCTTAATCCTTAAGGTAATTAATTTTGATTCTTTAATGTGTTCTTTTGAACCTAATAATACCCTTCGGACCTTCAAGTTACTTTCCCTTCATTCTATCATAAATTCACTTACACTTTTATGAGTATTGAAATGAACGTGCGCGTAGCTATTATCCATGATTGAATATATCAACCATTATTAATTATAATTACCCATTGGTCTTCTTTTAATTTACGTGCACAAATGGAAAGTTTTGTTCCAGTCTTGTATCTTGAATTGCACCTTCAAAATATCTAGGATTATCTGAATTTTTATCTATTATGAAGGAAGATACATAACCGTTTCTTCTCCCTTCATAAAAACTTTTTCACCCCAAAAAGAGGTCGCATTCACTTCACTTTCACCGACGATTATCTCACCGACAGACGTTTCACAGGGTCATCTCACCGACAAGGGAATTTAGGATTAAAGTTAGGGTTAGGTAAGAAAATTAGGGTTGTGATTAGGTTAGGGTAGGATTTCGGTGAAATGATTGTCGGTGAAATGAGCCAGACCCAATTAAGTTACATTGATTTCTTCTTTATATCAGCTTACTTCAAGAAATTCGTATAGATTAATTAAGGGTTTATGTGTCTTGGACACAATCATCATTTCAATTTTAGTAAATATTGTAAATATTGCTATAAAAAAAAAAGATAACGAAAAATTATAATTAAATATTATGAAATTAGAGTTAAAAAAATTTAAAAAAATTCCACATAAAGGACCTTACGATAAACTTATAACGTAATTAGTGCAGTATTTAGGTGCATTGCTTAAGTATTTAAGCAATTGGTAATGTATTACATTACATAAGAAATAAAGAAATACCATTCGGGATCATCTGGTATAAAATCCTTCAATCCTCATGAAATAATTCCTAAATAGCTTATTTTTTACAGAATAATTATTATTTACTTATAGTTGAGCGTACGTAGTAAATATTCATATATTTGAATGAATCAAGTCGTAAATATAATTAATTAAGCAAGGTTATCTTATTTTTACTCTGTCATTTCTGAACACTCTTTCCTATCATTTTTACAGTAACTTCATAACTTATCAAGCGATCAAATGTAACATGTCACAATATATTATTAATTTTTCCGAGTTAAAGTTTAGGTTTTTTTATAAGTACAAAAATGATCTAAATAGAGACGACGATCTTCGATCTTAATCTCTAAAAGCTGTTCTCTCTCTTAACGACAATCAAAGTTATTAAAATAGATTTTAAAGTTAAATAGCTCTTAATAAACTCCATTAGTTATCCATTAGATACGGATTATCGACAACCTAATTCTTTAAATAAATCCGATTTGTGGACAATCTCCGTTTTACTTGCTTATATTCATATATCTTTTTTTCATTACATGATTATATAACTCATGTAAGCCATTCCTATAATAGAGATATTATTTAAACCTGTTATCAAGCTCGTTGAAAATGCTAGTATGATGCATAACATTTTTATGTAATTTAGGTTATGCTTTTTTTAGATTAGCTTATAATGATGTCTATAAAAATTTTTTTGACAATGGGAAAAAAACTTCTTTCCAAACAAAAAAGTGAGCTGATCACGTATAACAGATGCCAAATATGATGTTAAAAAAGCGAATAAAAAATAATTATAAAATACTGTAATTTATTATCTTTTAAAATCATTAATGCTATTACTGCAAATTTAAATAATGATTTTTGCAATCAATGCGTTAGATTCTAGCCTTTCTAGTCCTATTCTTACTTCCTAAAAAAAGAGTGGCCCTAAAAAAAAGAAAGAAGAAAGAACTACCGGTTAAAAGAAATAAAAGAAAAAAATCAATCCATTGACTGATAAAAAAAAGCAATTCTAAAAAAAAGAAAAGGTAGTAAAAGCACCTATCAAGACGTTTCTAGTTCCACTTCCTTAAAAAAGCGGTCATAAAAAAAAAGAAAATACGAAAATAAAGTTCCATATACCGAGGCATTTCTAGTTTCATTCCTAAGAGACCAATAGACAAAAAGACGTAGAAATTTACCGGAAATGTGAAAGAGCAAAGAAATAAAAGGAATAACATGATGCTGGGACTCGCATTAAATGGCCTAAGATTCAAGTGTAGGCATCAACCAAACAAAGAAACTTTACATAGGACGCAAGCACTATACACCAAATCACCCGAAGATAATATTACTCTAGTTGAAAAATAAAGGAAAATGTAGAGGGTCGCGTACTCTCTCCTCTTCGATAACATCACACATTTCATTTACTTCTCTAGCATTTTTCCACTTCTGTGAAAAATCGCCCATATCGCGCGCTAATTCGAAGTTTTGAATAAATCCACATCTTTCAATAACAATGTCAAACGCAATCGTTAATTCATTAAGAGAACTGCTCTTAATTGAGATTACCCGATCTTGTATAAAAGAAATGCTTAGATTCTTGGAACTTAGAAAAAAGTGGTAGCTATGGAAGAAAATGCTGAGTTCAAGACCAGAGTTGTAAAATTGGAACAACTTTTACTATAAGAAAGTCCCCAGATTCGTAAGACGCTGTCACTTATCATCTCCAATTGAAACTGCAGAGCTTATTTCAAAGTCATTATGCGATAGCAAAAGGGAAGTCCCAAGGCGTGGTAACAATACTCCTCTCACTATTTTTTCATGTTTTTGAAACACGTCGCATAACTATTCCGGAATCCAAGCCTTTAGCAAGTAATCGACTAAAGGGCTAATAGGTTCTAGACACATCAGTTAAGACTGAAACTTTGAGCATAGGCCCTGAAGTCGTTACGCGATAGCAAGGGGGAAGTCCCACGGCGTGGTAACAACACTCCTCTCACTATTTTTCATGTTTTTGAAACACGTCGCACAACCATTCCAGGATCCAAGCCTTTAGCAATTGATCAACTAAAGGACTAACAGGCTCTAGATATGCCAATATGGAGAGAACGGATGGTTCGCGTATAATTTTGATTGACGATCTTGATAAATTATTGATACTTTTGATGATTGGCTAATGATCACCTGATGTATACACGTCTCCTCATTTCCTCATTTCCTCATAGGGATTCATAAAAGCGCGTCCCAGGAATATCTGAAAAATGCCCGACTCGGCAAAGGTGAAATTCGTGCAAGAAAACTTAGCAAAGTTTAGTATAATCACTTTTTTCAAAAAATACAGTTACTTGCATAGCTCTCGCAATGCCGCCCAGGAAGATCTTAGAAAATGTTTAGAAATTATCAGTCACACTGGTAAAGCCAAAGAAGCAAATATTGCGAAATCGTACCTGGCTAATAATCTAGACGTAAGGCACTAATAATATAGGTATTGGTCTTTATTGCCTACTATTATGCTCATGTTGCATCTTTATATCATATAGAATATGTTTAAATCCAAGCTTGCCGAGGATTTTTGGCGGAAACTTGAGTTAGGACAATTAGAAGAAAAAGTAAAATTCTCTAAGGCTGGTAATCGAAACCGAAATAGTTTTCATACCGTCCATTAGATAGAAAAAACTATTTAATACTTCACTCTGTAATCTAGGAAAAACATAATAAGACACTTATAATTAACGTTTATCGGGAGCACGATGCTATTAGTGGCCTAGTGACCTCTGAAACCGAGGGCTTAAGCCAACAACACCGTGTATCTTCTTCTAATGATGACGTCCTTTCCGAATTTTCCAATGATAAAGACCTTTCCAATGATAACGGCCCTTCCAATGACGACAACCTTTTCAATAATGACGATAATGATTATCTTTCCAATGATAACAATGATGACTTTTCTAACGGAGGGAAAGATAAAGAATATGAAGGTGACGTGGATGTTACCGACCTACGTGAGCCACATGTGATGAAAGCTGAAACTGGAAAAGAATTAACTTCAGATGAATGGGCGGAAGTACATGCGTTAGTGGAGAGTTATCGATTAAAAATACCGAAGACGAGGTGTTTATACAAGTAAGTTCATTTTTATTGTTCAATACTATCAAAACTTAAATTGACATTTTCTAGTCCACTTTTTTACCACATTGTTGACCATTCAGGTCAACACGGACCAACCACAAAATTGCTTAATCGATATATGTCATCGATGCGCCGGTCACTGCCTAACGTGAGCTTTGATTTACCAAGTCTTTCAGATGGCCAGGATAAATTTTTTGATGAACTATTTGCTGTAATTATAACATTGCATCTCCTTGAGGTCTTTAATTGTGAAGACATTTGCTAAGATATAATAATATAGGCAGAGGATCTACAAGATATTCGCGCGAGTACGCCTGAACAACGAACTGTCAAGAAATTGGTTTATAGGATGTGAGTTGACATAAAAAGTTTTATCAGTTTTATTAAAGATGATGACATCTAATTATTTTACCATTATTATTTTACCATCATTATTTTTTCTTTTAGCAATGATGCGATAAATTGCCCAAACAAAGACGTCATCTCAGAATATGAACATACCATGCGCAATGTGATCCCATTCATTGACGCATCAATCAGAGATGTGCCTGATTACGTTATACAATAGTGAGTTGGCTCTTGATAAGTTATTACATATAAAAGAAGCTAATTCTTCATATATAATCCATTAGTTTTGAAAGTACACTTCGCGCCACGGCAATACGTCGTAACTCGGGTGGAGACCCCACAGAGCGTGCACGAATGGGATATAGAGTAGATGTGCTTATCAAATTTAATGGCCTTCATTGGAGTCCTGACCTTGGATGTGGAGAGGTATCAGGTGGACTTCCGAGGTGCACTTCTGCTAAAGAGTGGATGGATACCCTTAAGCTCGGGTGGGAATTGCGTGATGTGTGGGTCTTGACCCAAGATCAGTTAAATGGAGTTGATGCCAGTGCTTTAGTCGTGTGGGGCTTTACTGTTGTTGGTAAGTGATAAGTTTCAGCCTGACATATTTATTTTCTTACTAATTATATCGTGTTTGATTAGCCCGCACAATTCGCATTTACGCACTCACAGCTGCTGGCGGTTTGTTCCATCTTATACTTGCTTACGAAGCACCTATACCATCATCAAGATGGGACATATGTAACACCAAAATCGCTTATTGCACCATGTTAGGATTTTTGCAAAAGTTGGACGCTACCAAGAAGATGCTCATCAATCTGAACAGCGAAAGAACAAAAATACTATGCACCGGAGTAAAACGGAAGAAGATGTCTGCTTTGTTTTGTTCTCCACCAATTACAGGGTCACCAGCTAAAAAAAAGAAATAATAAAATTTGTTTTCTGTAAACTGAATAGTTTCGTTAATGTTGTGTAATAATGATCTTTTTGAGAACAAAGAAATTCTCTGCGCCACAAAACGCCGTTGCCTGCGAGCTCAATTGTACCCGCCCACATAGGATTTATAATTTTTGCATGGTGTGTGATATGCATCGGAATAATATAAAGAGTTTTTTGCCTAGTATATTTGGAAAGATACCTGTAAGTAAGTTACACATATTTGACAAAGATGTTTAACATATTAACCAAAGAACCATTATTAATGTTTCTTTTTTTAATAATTTATTTAAAGGTTTTGCTATTTTAAAAAAATCTTAAATTTTTATTATAACTGTAATATATATTTATCTATTTTTCTTTATTATATATTTCAGAAATTCTATATTAAATAATATATTACAGTTCTTTTTAATATTTTATTTACTATTAATATTAGTACTCTTATTATTAATGTAAAATTTTTATAATTAATAAAAACTAAGATTTTCTTTTTATTAATTTTTTTGATAAAATCTTGACTATTTTATCATTCTAAAATTTTCCAATAATTTGTCTATTTTTAATAAAAGTAATTTAATACTGTTACTATTTTAATTTTCTATAATTTACAAAAGCCTATAACTTTTCTTTTTTTCCTACTAGTTGATATTTTTAAGGTTAAATATGAAAAAATATAAAAAATATGGAAATATTTGGAATTGATTAATTTTTCATATCTTTTAAATCATTAATTCTGTAACTTTAAGTAATAAAAACGTAACAAATCATATCAATTTTAATATCTTATTTTAGTATATTTTAATTTTTAGTTGTTATTATACTGAATTTATTCATCATACTTTTTTTTACATTTATCTTATATAAATACAATAGATTTTTTAATAATTCAATAATTAATAATGATTTATATAAAGTAGTTATTTTGAATTTTATATTTTTAATAAAATAATTATTAAATGGAAAGTTTAAATGTATTATGTATATGATTTTTTTTTTAAAAAAAAACATAAAATGAAGTGTCTTAACAATAAATTATATGATTTATATACGAATTATGGTAAAATAATTACCAGGTGGGCCATGAATTAATGCGTTGCTGTTTACAGTTGTTTATAATAAAAATTGGTGCTTGGAGGCACGTTAAATGATCAAAATTAGTATAAATTTAAAAAAAAATTATATTTTTCAGGAACTCGCCTGGATCCGCTAAATTCCCTCCTTGGAAATGCTTCCATTTTACCAATTGCCACTTTATAGCTTCGCTATTACCCCTGATATTTTTAATCATTATCGAAAAATAATAAAAATGGACTTGAACAATTATTGTTTTTTAGCGATTAAGACAAATTTATTATAAATTATTTTTTTTTTTACTGACAAAATTACCCTTAAGGGAGCAGTGCTTTGTTTAAAAAATAATATCAACGACTCTACTAAACATAAAACATTCCTAACTGAACCACACCACCCGGCTAGCAGATGTTCACAATGAGCATATATTATAAACATTAAGTATATATAGATTTTATATACAGTATTTAAATCATTTAATCCTATTTTCAAAAAATTCATGAATATCTAAACATATTCCCGATATAATATTCCTTAGATTTCGCCCATCAACTAATTTTATAATTCATTTACTTCTTCATCTTCGATCACATTTCTTGAGGAAATAATTCCATTTATTGATAGTGTATCTCTTAATCAGAAAATATTTTCCTTTTCATTTTTAAACTTCACTACGATGATATAATTCTTGTAATTCTGACAGACTACAGAAGATTTTGTGAATTAATCGACTAACATTAACAAACATTATATTCGAAGGTTATATGATCATCACTCTCAAAGGCTATCTTGAAATGCAAGTAGATTGCTTTCCAATTTCGTCCAAGAATTAGAGAATCCTGCTCGGTTTCTCTTGATGTGATCCTGGTTAATGTTAATTTTCTCATCCCTTGTTCTCCAAACAATATGAAGATCTATTTTTACATGACAAAGTCATTTACAATTTCGAGAAACGAACACATCATTTTGAACATCAACTTTGGGACTGAATACCCTTTTCAACAATCTTGATGAGAAAGATTCTCATCGCATCTATTAATATATCAAGCATATAGAAGGCCCGTCGATATAATGATAGGTGTCGTAGATCTAATATGGCAGTCTATAAAATAACACAACAAACACATACGAAAGCTGCTTTGCAGTAGTTTTTGCAAATTTGTTCAGGTAGATAGGAAATGAAGAGTTTGTAAATGATCTTGAAAGTGATGATTTAAATGTCAAGTTCCTTAACATAACTCAGCGATTGAAGGCATTGTAGTGAAATTAACTCATAATCTTGTGGGTATAGATAATTTACTTATCATATATAATTCGTTCAAAGTATAGTCCAACGTCTTATATAAACGATCGTGACGTACTCCAGTATGAAATGCCAGAGAAAGGTTAGAGACGAAAATCCCAAACAAAACACCGGTATGAATATTTTTCCGACATACTTCTCTTATTCCTTCTTGAACTAGTTTCTTTTAGATACGAAGTGCATAGTTTACGAACTAATTAGATAATTTGTTTTTCAGGCTAAGCACGAAATATTTTATTCATATGAAACGGTTTATGTAAAGATAGCCCACAAGCATTATCACTTGTAAAATTAAGTCTATGTACTACAATAAAGCTGACGAACATATATGTGCATTTACAGTACAACCTGACACAAAGACACAAATGTAAATCTCATATGTATAGAAGTATTAAAATAGTTTTTTCCCTTTCACTACTTACCATTTGTGAAATACTTCGATTATCGGCTGATCCTTTACTTTTTTGATAGTTTTAAATGTGACAATTGATCAGGCCATGCCTCCTATTTATTCCTTTATTTATTTATTCAACCCCTCAGGTGATACCAAAATAATTAATTTATTTACAGTTGGGAATTACTATTCCGAACCGAATGTTCCGTTCAATGACTTATATAAAAGATACCATTTTTCTATATTTTCTCCTCATTTATTTCATTTTATCATGGAATTACGTCAAATAATAAAAGTAATAAAAAATCATTTAACTCATCATGAATCATTTATAGCAAATGAATTGGTAAAACAAAATCCACCAAAATGGTATTGTAAAAATAAGAAATTAATATACGAAATGGCTACCCCTGAAGGGGCAGATTCATTTCATGGTAAATTGGAATATACAAGATGGGAAGAATTTCCTTTACCGAAATCTTTTAAAGGTGAAAGTGATAATCCTCAAGGGGGAAAAGAAATGAAGATTGAAGTTAAGAATGATGTATTTGATTATTCGTCACCTGAAGACAATAACACGGTAAATTGGTATATTAATTTTGCGGATAAACATGTATTTGGATATTATGGAGGAAATTTATTCGCGCAAGATGAAAGTCAATGTTTAGAACATCCAGTATTATGTTCACTTCGAGATTATCTTGTAAAAGGAGATCAAGAGAGTTGTTTTACAACAGCACGTCCAATTCTCACTAAAGATTCAATCTCATCATCGTTTATATCAACACCAATATTAGTTAGAGGAGTAGAAAGAAAAGTACAAGTAAAAACTGATGTTAATAAAAATGAAAAACGACCATTTGGATTATATGGAAACCAATTTGCACATGCATCACCTGAAGCCATTAAATTAGCGACAACAATATATGATAAAAGAATTGATCCAAAAACAGGAAATCCTTATTATTCTAATATCATTGCTATTGAAGCACCAAAACATGGACATGGAAAATATACTTTTAATACTATTAAAAGAATATTGGCTACCGGCTATTCAGGATTTCTTGCTGCCAAATTTGAGAGTTTGGTAGAAAAAGGAATACTTGAAAGAAATCATGAAGAGAATCAAGAACATACTAAAATAAACATCAACGAAGAAGAAAGTGTACCAAAACCGAGAGTGATTATTCATACAGGAAATTGGGGATGTGGTGCTTATGGTGGTAATATTACTATTATGTCTTGTTTACAAATTGCGGCTGCTCATTTAGCTGGTATTGATAAAATTGTTTATCATGCCATGGGTAATCAAGATGAATTTAATTCTGGTTTGCAAATTTATAATGAATTAATTAAAGATGTAGAGGGTGATGTTAAAATTGATGACTTTATTAAAAATGTCGAATTGAAAGATTTCCAATGGGGCCTTAGTAACGGGACTTAAAAAAGTAGAAAAATATTTATTGTTATTCATTTATTACCTTTTTAGTTATTTATGTATCGGACTGAATTCCGGTTGTAAACATGCTTCTTACAAATTGAATGTTGTACAAACAATCTTTAATTAAATACTCCAAATTTCATCATATACTGAGTCATAAACACAAACAAAAATGTAAGATACAGGTCCAGATTTTTTGTTTTTTTCTTTGAAAAAAAAAAAGTAGTAAATTTTTTAAAACATTATTCCGATACTATTTATACTTTTTTGGATTTCCAATCAAATTTTGAATGATATGGAAATTTTTTTTGTAAAAGATCTTCGGATTTTCGACGAGTCAAAAAAATAAACACTATAATAGAAATATTACTCTTTATATGTTAATTTTTTTTTTTAACAAAAATAAAAAAAGGTAAAGATGACATCCAATCATATTGTATGCAATGTCAGTCAACATGTAAGGGATGTTTTGTGATCAGTTTCATATATTTTTTGTTCATTCTTGAAACTAAACTAGTAATTTTCCGAAATAAAAAGTGATCTACGTTAAGGATATAAAGCAAAAGGAAAGAAGTAAAAGTAATTTTTTTTAAAGTTAAAAATATCTGGGGAAAGACTAAGCGATTATTTGAAAGGATGAATGTGATCTTCTCACGGTAGATTAATCTATTTGGTTTATATCTGCAATGGGTATTGTTTGAAAATATTGTTCATTTATTTTTATTTGTGCTTGCATTTTTTAATTATATAGTTAGCTACTTTCCTTAGCGAAGCTGACGGGTGTCAATAAAAAATTTCCTGTCAAATGTACATACAGTATATTTATAACAAGTTATTATAATTTTTTTTTTTTTTTCCTTTTCATCATAAAAGGCGTAAAAAATTAAGGTTTTATTTTACGCCCCAAAATTTATATATTGATAACTTAAATTATTTATTGAGAAAATCAACAGGAAATATTACTGGTAATCATCCCAACGCACATTTATTGATATATTTTTAGCTTAAAACCCCATTGATGATCTTATGACATTTTTAAACAACATACAAATCGATGGAGAACGGGAAAACATCTATGAACTATGAAATTTATTTTATTTACTTTATTCTCTGAGCTGATAAGGGACAAAGAAATAAATATTGGCTGTTCCTATTTTACCTTCTATTATTATTTTAAACAAGGTACTACATTAAATGACGTAGTTAGAAGTCAACGGACTATTATATAACCCAAAATATAGCGCGCAATGTATTTATAGTTTATACTTCTCCTGTAAATTTCTATCCAATTTAAGTTTAATTCAAGTTTATCAGTTTGTGTTAGATTATCCAATTACTCCATACGGAAAACTTGCTTTTTTTTAATAAAGTATAAATATAGGAAGCGTGTTTTTCAAGTTTTTTTTTTTTTTTTTAAAAAAAAAAAAAAATACCTATTTTTTTTACAATTTATTTATTTATATTTTTTGTAACGGTTTTCTTTTTTTAACGAAAAAAAAAAAGGTTTCTTTTCTCTCTCATCAGAAATTCATTATGGGTGGTTGTATTTCTTCTTCTTCACAAAAGCAAGCAAAACTAGATGTTGGTATTAGTTCTGCAACATACTCACAAACAATAAATAAAAAACCTGTCAACAACCGTTTTCACGAAAATGATAATGTAAATGGTTCTCCTACTAATAATAATGCTAAAAAAGCTAAAGTTGTTAAAAAACAAAAAAAGAAAATTCATAAAGGTCTTATCGGCCTTCCTTCTAATTTTCAACATACCGGTCATATCGGTATCACCGAATTGCGTAGTGGTAAAGTTGACGTAAGTGTTGTAATCCACAATTAAAGTTAAAAGTCCTCATCAAAATTTTGTTTTCTTCTAATTTGTTTTGTTAATTTTAGCCCGAAAAAATTAAAAATCAAATGGCTGAAGTTGCAGCTGCTCTTAGTTTAGAAGGTTTGAATATAGGATCCACAATTCCATCAGCTAATGATACCAATACCAATAATAATGATATCAAGAATCATGAAACTCCCACGCTTACGTCTATTTCCTCAGAACAACAAATTGTTACTGATAATAATAATAATATTAATAATAATAACGATAATAACAATAGACCAATTTCTCTTCAAAATGAATCTCTATTTAAAGTTAAGGTAAATTAATCCTCATTAATCCTCAATTAATGAATGCATTAACTAAAAGAGAATATGACAAATAAAATTTCTTTTCTTTGCAGAGAAAACCAACTTTAACACCAATTTCTTCGCCAGTGCAGCAACAACGGCAATTACCATCTTCTACATTAAATCCTGTAGTTGATCCAATGACTGAAATCGTTGCTGCACTGAAAATGCCAATTGATGGAAATTTTGATCAAAAATTAGTGGTTTAACGCTTCTTTTGTAAATATGATATTAATGGTCATATCTTAATTAATTACGGTATGTATATTAAATTAACAACTAGTTATATAAGTTTATTTATATTCGCAATACTAATTTAATTTTAAATTCTTATAAAATTAGAACTTTATTTTATTCACCTATTTAGTTTAATATATTACGATATTTTATATTTAAGTGTTAAAAAATGCTACATATATTTAGCCAGAACGGCTGAACAAATGAATTCCAACGAACTAGCAAATTCAGATAGAGTGTATTATTAATATTCTTATTCGAGTATTTTTTTTTTTTTTTGAAATTTAGGTTATCTTGGCATGACAGAAAATAGGGTGTATTTATATCTATTTCTATCTATTTGGATTACTTCTTTTTTGCTTTTTTTTTTTTGTTTATTTTAACGCATTTTTCATTATTCTCTTTATTCCCGAGGTGTACATTATTAGCTAGTATACTGCGTATACTAATGAAAAAAGTAAATTATGATATTTCCCTCGGATCTCATCAATCATTTTATTTTTCACACGCTATGAAATATTATTAAGAAAGCTTACCTATTTTTCTTTACACATGACGTTAATCCTCTTCGCTTTTTTAATTAAGGAAATAAGGAAAATTGATTTCTCCTTTTTTCTATGACTACTAGTTTTAGATGTTAGCGCTTAGTCAAGTAGGTTTATAGGTGTTTAGTTGTCAGGCAAGTGTTAAATCATTGTTCCTAGATCTAAAATTTTTTAATTCTGATGAAAGGTCTTTTTTTTTTGAAAAGAAAAAGATCATCACTTGTTGAAAAAAATTTGTTATTAGAAAAGAATACTGAAAAGTGAGAATTTGGTACCATTAATAAAAATTGAACCATATCTGTTTAACCGAAATATTAGAACATTTGTTTAAAATTATATAATAAATCATAAATTAGTGTTATATTCTATTTCAGATTAACTTTAATGAGGATAAATCAAATAAATATTGTTTTAAATTTAACAAGCCTAATAACTAATATTAAATATTAAATATCACTGTGATTATTAAGGTCAGACCAATTAAGAAGTGTGTTTAACATGATATGTTTCAAACAATCTAAAGAAGGATATTAAACAATAATAAGTGAATTGAACAAACATAATTTTAGCCAGAATTATCCTTTAATTTCTGCCATAAAATGTTCATACAGTATCTAATAATTTGTTGTATTAAGTTCATAAACTTTGAAAAATTCAAATAATAATGAGAAATTACACTTTCTTAAAATAAATTCAAATTTTATCTAATCTCTTGTATATACAAGTTAAAAAGAATAAATGGTGTGAATAATTTTCTTTTACATGAAATTAGCATATATTATCTGTTATATAATAATTAATGAATCATTATAAAATTTACGTTGTTCAAAGAACCATTATGTTAAACATACTATTTGGCTTGGTCCAGCCTAAATAACATGAGTACAACACTAGATTTAAATAATTTAAATTAAGTAGTTTGCAAAATTACGTACTACAGTTGAAATTCTTATCCTACATATCCCTGTTTTGATATCTACTATCTAGTGATTTGGTAGATAACATCTCGATGAGATGGTAGTAAAATCGCATTTCTAGAATCAATATTAACCGAGTTATCATGAAGAATATTTTATTACACATTATTTGTAAGTTAATGAGATATCAGAGATGTTTGTTAATTCCTATTGGTCACCAAGTATTCCCAATTACCAGGATATCAGTAATCAGTCTTCGAGATCTTAGTGATTTAACACTGATTTAACTTTAAATTTCAACTAATTATTAATCGGTCAGTTGACATTACTAATTATATATCAGATATTTTTTTTTTTTAAAAAAAAAAAATAATGATAGGGTTAAATTTGTAATTAATTTCATTTTTGCAAAAAAAATGCATAGTTTTCTCTATATTTTATATAAATTCTTTGTCTTTTTCTTACATTTTAAAACTTGTTTTATTAATCAATCTTTATTAAATTAAGATTATGTATAAATAAACAATCTGACCAATATTATATTTAACAATTTTATTGCATCTTCTATATGTTCAGTTTTAATTCTCGTTAAAAGAACTAAAGTTAAAATTAAACATAATTATCAATTTTATATTAATAAGTTTCAAAATTATATAAAGGGTTATATTAATTTTTCCTTTACAATTATCATTATTAGTTTGAAAATAAAATAATCTCCGTTTTACAAAATCGAAGAATATCATATAAATAGTGTCTTAACTCCAAGATCAACCACCTAAGCCGAAGTCAATCTGGCAATTCTAAACAATTTCTGAAACCATTTCACGACTTGTCCATTACAGTAAGGTCTTAAGCTCTGGTAAACACCTAGGCTGAAGTTGTTGATGAGTAGTCCATAAAGAGTTTTTTGTATATACAAGAAAAAGTGATAAGCAAACTAAAATAGTAATCCCTAAGCAAAATTTTCTAACGAAAACAAAAAGTTGCGTCACCAATCTAGCGCAGAAATTATGTTAATAGCTCGGTTCGTCAAATTTTTCGATTGTTTACAGAAAAGGAATAATTTATTGTATTACGGTAAAAAAAGTGGATTAGGAAATAGATTTTCTTTTTGATCGTTTTGAAAGTTGAAATAGCATAAATCTCTCGTGGGTTAAATCTAATCCTGCGCCAATTAAACCCTGACGCAGCTGTGATTCGAGCCAAAAAAACTTTTTTGAAGTTTTATAGTTTGAAATGCATTCCTTGTATAAATTCGCTTTGTTCAATATATTTTTGCTTATCGTTTGAATGCGTATTAATACGTCGTTGATATACCCCTGAAACATCTCAGCGTTAAATCGTAAAATATTTGAATATTTTGAAAATTCTGAACACGGAAATATATTTGGAGGAATTGGACTACCTTAGGTTTCTCTTAATATTTTACCTAATCGATAAAATCTTCTTCAGGTCGTATATTCTGCAAAGCAATTTTCATTTGGTGACGCAACTATTTGCTTAAATACTAATTTAAAAATTACTCTCGTCAGATTACATTGTCCGATTATGAAACTGTTTCAAAGTACAGCAAAAGGCCTTCACGTCACTTACTATTAAGTTGAAAAAAGTAAAAAGAATCTTAAGTATTCGTTTTGTCAACTAAACCGAACACGGTAATTGAAATTATAGTCTATATTTGTACAATTTTGGTTTCCGAAATTTCATATTTTATGTAGCAATCACGTTTTAACAAATCAAGTAAATAAATTTTCACTGCCGTTGGTCGCCGTGCTTTCTTCAATAACATGGTGAGACTGAAATTTGGCAATACTATTGGCAATCTTTGCGACCGGATCAAGGTAAATAAGTTTCTTTTACCAGTAATGTCTTTGCTTTATTAATTGATTATTATCTTAGGCAATTTTTGTCAATTTTTACAAGCGCAATAGCTTTTTATAAATCGGGTTACTCATTAGGACATTCAAGTTGTCGACCATTAATATTTTAAACGCCTTTTAGGCAATATTGTTACTGTTCTTGCAAGATGTTATCACGGCAAGTATGATTTACAAATAAAGACCGTCTTAAGGTTGAAAAGTCATTCAAAGTTCCAACCATCGAGGTGATAATTCTATAGAGCAAAGAAATTATCAGAATTTTCGGTATGAGAAACACGCTTTTCTGGAGGCATGTTATTTGACTTAATGAATAGATCGCCTAATTCATGAGCAACAATTTTTCAACAATATAATCGTCAAATTGTGGTATCTTTTCCTAATCATGTATCGTAGCGCAAAATGGATCAAGGCTTGAAGTTGATGATTTGAAGAGAGATAATTTAGAGCTATATTCACAAGTAAAGTTAGTAAACTTTGAAGGGCCAAAGAATTACAAGGACAAACAAACTGCCGATATGATCAAATTTGTAATTGCAAAATTTGTATTTTTTTGATACTTCTAATTTTGAATATAGCGCTCTAATAAGATTCGAAATGGCATGAATTCACCAAATTATGTTCAAAACGAGCACTGTAAACAATGGGTTTAAGGTATCTCCTGCTCCTGCTCCTAATTGGCTTACCATCCTGTAATGTCGACTCTATTTTTTAAATATAAGGATGTGAATTTTCACTAGAATTATTATTCTGAAAATGAATCAAAAGTTGTTCCTTGATATGGTACCTGAAAACTTTGTCCAGGCAAAAGAGCGAGCCTTTAAGACTTCCAATAACATTTTATAACGTATAATAAGGTACATAGAATTCACGGTATGTAGTCATTTTCTCTAGTTTTCGGCAAATTAAGAAGGAATTGTATATTTATTTGTTAGAAAACTAACATAGGGCTTAATTTTTATGAGAATCACATATACCTCCAATTTTATGTATTCTTCAGTGTCATCCTTCGTCATATGACGAAATTAAGAGAATCGAGGATACGGTGGTGGAATTCCTACTCGATGTTTTTCGTTGTATTTTTAAACCACAGTTGAAATTATTCTATTATAAAGTGTACAATGGTAAAAACAATCAAGCAATATTGTGGAATGCTTTGTCTAAAAATCAATTTCAGGGAAATAACATGAAGAGCAGCCTCAGAATTGTTGATTTATTTGTTGGATAATTATCCAAGTTAAATAAATCAGACAATCGTGTTCGGAGCTGATGTTACGTATTCCGGCGTCGGTAAGTCTACAATTATTACCTGAACATTTCTTTATCAATTTATTTTAGGCGATGAAATCCAAGAATTACCGTTTTGGTTGGATCCTTTGATCAATAAGATATGTCACAACAATAAGATTTCAGACTTTCCACATGGAGATTATTTCCGTTCTTAAAGACATGGTTCAAGAACTTTTTAAAATAAATAAAATTATCTATAAAGAACTCACAGGAAACTAGGACGGATTTTTATTTGAAGATGCTGATGTTTTGAAATATGAATTTGATGCTATATGAAGCGCCGCATTATAAACAACTTAAAACCCACAATCACGTTTGTTGTTATACGAAAGAGATACTATTTTTCGAGTATTAAAATCGTTAATTGTTGATGAATCAATTTTTAATTTAATGTTTTTAAACTCGAAAAGGCTCATAAGTCAAAAAATTGTCTTCTAGACAAGAATGACTGCATTATGTTCCAATTACTTTTTTTTCGTCATTATTTTTTCAATTTGTTTGTTGTCAACTGGGACTATTGTGGAAAAGACAAATATCTCATCCATTTAAATTTAATTTTTATGAGTAAGAATACTATTGTAAATTATGTCCCAATTCTGAACAATACTGTATTAACATTTGTACAATTATGGAATAAACACATTTACTCTCTCATTCTGACCTGCTCCAACCTATTACCATTTTTAATTGATGATGGCAATCTTTGTCGTTTATACCTTTATTGTTATCAACTTTTTAACATTCATTAAATACATTATTTTCAAGTCAAACTTTGACATATAATCTATGTTATTTATATGCGATATTTACGTGCATCTAATGCCATTCGTGCATTATATCTAAAACTTACGTAAATGATGATTTTGTTTATTTATATGTTAGTAAGAAAAGTTTGAAGGAAGCGAAAGTAAAATTTTTTTATTTAATTAAAAAAGTTAAGTAGTGATTATAGAAATTCGACAGAAAAACTAATAAAAAAGCAATTTTTATTTTTATTACTTTTATCTAATCTAGAATTAATTATTATTAATTTTTTTTTTTTTTACTCATAATATACCAAAATATTCAATAAAATAATTAGAAGTTTAGAACCTTTTATTTGATTGATTCTTGTACATTCTGTAAACAAGAACCAAGACACTAAGAAAAGCGAAGGTCGCAATAAGTTTTAATATGAATAATAGACCAAACCAACTTGAAGACGAAGGATCTTGTTGGCGTATAGATGGCTTATAAGATCTTGGTGGCACAGAGACGATGTTATTTGTTGTAACACTAATAATATCATGGTTATCACTAACTTCACCTGTTAAAGCAGTGAAACCAAGGTAAGCAACTGAGGGAATAGTAACATTAGGAATGGTAAAACATGGTTCCCATTGATCCCATGCTTTATATTGTAATTTGACCTCAAGATAAGTATTTTTATAATAAGTTATTCGTGCCTTGGTTGCTACTTGTTTACTTCTTATATCAGCCTCACATCCCGCAACTTCATTCTTTTTACCATCATTATCGTGATCATATTCAGTTGTACCATCACCAACCATGGCCATGACGTAAGGGAATGAATGCTAGTTAAATTGAATCATATAAATTAGATAGACGAGTAAAAATAAAAATGAACTTATAAATCGCATCTTTGACCAACTACTTACGGGATGTCTGGCGTTGGCATATGTATCAAAAAAGATACCAAGTCCTTCAAACTTATCAATGAATCCGAAGACAGGACCAACTTTGGCACGTTCCGATGTAAACCATACAGCCATTCCATCGCCATGAAGAGTCGGATGTTGTCCATCAATGTTAAATTCGAATTCTACTTGCCAATTTGTAGAAGTTATGGGCTAATTTATGAATTAAATCAAATTGGATTTATTATACATATTACAAGATTGCAATTAAAATTAATAATGAGAATAAATTCTTACCAGACGACTCCATAACCAGCCAGTCTGGGATGGTCGATCGTAGGTCAGTCTAACGTGCTTGTTAGTATTGATCACTGTATCAGCACCAAAATCAAACCATCGACTTTGAAAGTCTTGATCTAAAAAAAAAACCAAAAAAAAAGACGCGTTGAAAATAACTAAATTTTTAAAAATTTATAAAATAGTTTACCTACCAATATAAGGCATATAAATAGAATGGGTTCGAAGCGGAATTGCCTGACTACCATCATCTTCCGTTGTAGCATCATATGCAAACGTGGAACAAACAGCAAGCCCCAATAGGGCAAGACATTTGAACAAACCCTTCATCGTGTTCTATAGAGCTGGTAAAAAGTTAATAGAGTAATTTATTTTTTATTTAGAGGCTATGTAGCTGTGTAACGGTTCTTTACTTAAATTTTATTGATCACGTGTTTGTTACACTTAAAGAAAATCAGGCTCAAACATTCTCCGAACAATTTTTTTTAAAAAAATGTCGTCCAGTGAACAGCAATTCCGCGAGTCTTTACGATCTTTTCGTTGGGCTTCAAACTCTAACAACGATATAAACTCTAACAAAACTTCTACATTCTCCCAATTAACTGAGAATACTTCAAATTTTTTTGGCAATGTTGGTAATAGAGTACGAGGATATGTACCTCTATCAAATAATACCGTCGAGGAAGAGGAGGAATGGTTTACATTGACTAGGTGGCAGGTGAGTAGTTATGCTCTAATAAAGGCTTTTTGAATTTTATTAATCATATATTATTCTAGAGATTTGTAGGTTTTGGAGTTTGTATGGCCGCCGGAGTTCTATGCTTTTTAATTGTAAGTAAACAATTTATTTAATTGCCTAATTGAATTTTTTAAAAAAATTTTATATTTAAATTTTATAGGCTTTCTTAACTTTGCCCCTTTTGGCATTAAAACCAAGAAAATTCGCAGTAACTTATACAATGGGGAGTGTTTTGGTTCTAATGAGGTTACTGTCTTCTGAATTTTTATTATTATTTACTGCTTTTTTTTGATATAGTAACTGTAAATTTATTTTTGTAGTTTCGCCTTGTTGCATGGACCAATTGCACATCTTAAACATATTTTTTCCCGTGAACGTATTCCTTTCACTGTTGCCTATTTGGGATCAATGATAGGAACGTTATATTCTGCAATTGGGGTAAGCAAGTAAATTTGTGGTTATGCCTTTGTATTTCCATTCTTACTAATTAGAATCTTCTTTTTATAAGTTACAAAGCACTCTTCTCACTCTTCTATTTAGTATTATACAAGTTATAGCACTTATATGGTAAGATTATATAATTAATTTTGTTATAAACCATAATGAATAACGATACATTTGTTTGTATAGGTACACTATTTCATATTTACCAGGAGGAGTTGGTACATTACAAGTGGGATCACGTATGATTGCACGTCAAGTATTACCAATTTAAAATAATTAATTAATCTAACATGAACACTTGAAATATTAATGTAAAGATATCAAAAGTATTGAATTATTTAGATATCTTTTTCATAATTTTAGTTGTAAAAAAAGAAAACATGTACTTTAAAGAAAAATAATATTATAATGAAAATTGCATTAAATTATCTAACATTATTAATAAATTTTTATTAGAATTAGGATAGAGTTAGGGTTTATTATGAAGATATTATGTATACATTTTATTAATATAATAATTTATTCCAGTTCTTAAATTGTTAGGACTTTATGTGAGGTATATTTATAAATTAAAAATATGTGAAATTTTGACAGAAAAATTTACTAATTTAGTATTTATACTATGTTTTGCATTATCTGTTATTTTACTAGGGAACGCAAACCGTTCAGGATGTAGAAACAATCGCATATTTTAACCAATAATTGTGCTCATTTTTCTTAGGCATATTGTTAATGTAAAACGCAAATTATAACTAATTTTGTGATGCATGTCAGATATGATAAAAAATGACATAAGGCAATGAATTATATTAGGAAAAAAATATATTTTTTTTTATTCCATCATGTTTTTATTGTTAGGCTTTATACAAAATAAAACAATAGTTTACGAATTAATAGTAGAAGTACGAAGTAAGCTTTAATAAATAGCTATAATAATTTTAAAAGAATTATCATTATTACAAAAAATGGGTTAAAGAACAGGCTGGACATTCATTCAGCTTTAAGATTATTTGACTTTTTCGGTAATTATATACTTGCGTCATAAATACCCAATTATAATTTTAATTTACTTTCTAATAATGGCAAGTTGGAAATAATGAATAACATATTATAGTCTATTTTGTGACCAATCGTTCTAATATAAGTATTAGGCATTTTTTCTTGCTAAATAGATTACAAAAACGATCCATGTTTACCGTGCCCAAATTTTGAACCTAATCCTTTCGCATTGTCCAAGAACTCTTTGCGCTTGCGCGAATCCATACGACGTGTACCTAATACATCTTTTTCACGATCAAAAGATCGTTTACTTGCGTCATCATCTTGCCATTTACGTGATTTAACGTAATTTTCAGAATGCGTCTCCAAAAGAGATTTTGGCCGATACAATTCCTGATAAAAGAATTAAGAACAAAATTAATTATAAAAGAATAAAATTATACGAAAAAATAATTCAGATACATACGTTATATTCCTTCACTTTTTCTGCCGTTTCTAAGTCAATGCGAGTATATTTTATTGGTTCATCATCTTCATCTTTGGCATGTTTCCTTTTTTGATTAGAAGTTGCCTAGAATAATTTAAGGAATCAGCGAATAAGTAAAATGAATAAAAATTCAGATAAATTTGATAATACCTGTTTTTTCAGCCTTTCTTCCCTTTCAGCAGGAGTCTCCGTCCAAAGTGAATTATCGCTGTTACTTGGATCTTGTGTTTTCTTCTTGAATTGACGTGATCGCATATTAGTTGGAGTTTCTATAAATAATATTTATTTATTTTAATTTGTTTATAGCAAAAATGCGAAAATTTAATATTGTTAATAAAGTCTAGAACTACCTCCTAGAAATTTTGTTTCCGGTGGCACCAACATCCATTCTCCACGTTGTAAAGGTTTATCGCCTTGATCATTTGGCTATAACATCAAAAGTAGTTGAATTTACTAAATAGAATAAATTAGACAAAGAAATGCTTAACTGACTTCAAGAGCTTTGCGCATTTTCTCTGCTCGTTCCTCAAATTCTTGAATTGTTTTTTGTAAATTACTGTCATCGCTCCCTTCTTTAAAACCCTTCGGAAGTATTGGACCTATTATGTCTTCTTCTTCTTTCTCTTCTTGGTGACTATATCCCGGAGGAGGCATTACTGCAGGGCCAATTACACGCTTTTTATAATTAGGTAACGCTCTTCCTTGAGGTAACATTGGATCAATAGGAGTATCCTCGGAAACCTCAGAATCGTGTTTAGAAGATCGCTCAATTGAGTCACATAACTGCGGACCAATTTCTGGTACAGATGCTCTCTCCTCATTACGTAAATGAGCTGGAATTTGTGGTCCAATTTCTTCCGACATTTGTAAACTAATTTCGACAATATCTAATTTATAATTGATCGACCAAATTGACCAAATTATGGTTGGTTAAAAATCACGTGATTGTATTTTTACACTGACAATTCAATTTTTTCGAAGATCTGGATGACCCAAATCTAAAATTTTCAACCAATCAAGACTCGCACCGTGTAAATTTTTGAACGTGTTTTTTTTGGCGTCTTAAGAGTTAAAGAGTTGGTCTTAATAAAATTGTCAATTTTGAACAATGTCTGTCGAAAAATCAAAAAACTTCGTTCATCAAGGCCTTGAAACACACCATGAAGATATGGTGGTAAGTGTTTATAAATAGATTTGACAAACAGCTTTGTATTGATTGAATAATTTTTTTAATTAAACGACTTAGCATGATGCTCAACTCGATTACTATGGACTAAAGTTAGCTACCTGTTCTTCAGATCGCACCATCAAGATATTTGACCTTGATGGTGAAGAGCGACGAGAAGTGGAAACACTGAAAGGGTTAGTTCTTTGTCTTCGTTAATGCTTGTAGTTCAATTTTCACAATTTGCTTATTTTTTAGACATGAAGGTCCTGTATGGCGAGTAGATTGGGCTCATCCAAAATTTGGCGTCATATTAGCATCATGTTCTTATGATGGCAAAGTTTTTATCTGGAAAGATCATGGTGCTGGCTCATGGAAAAAAATTAAAGAACACACTTTACACACAGCATCTGGTATATGTTAAATAAGCCAATCTTTATCTTAATTTTTTTCGTATCATATATTTCACTTTCTTTACTTTGTCGTTGCTTATAGTAAATTCTGTGGCGTGGGGACCTCATGAACTTGGTCCAATTTTAGCTTGTGCTTCTTCGGACGGAAAAGTTTCTGTCCTTACTTTTAAAGGTATTTAGACTAATTGTTTTTTCGTCGCACTTAATACTTCCTGAATTCTTAATATTTCGTAATAGATGATGGTTCATGGGACGCAGTTGTTCTTGAAGCACATAGTATTGGCGCAAATAGTGTGTCTTGGGCGCCAGCTACAATACCAGGTGCTCTTGTTCAGGTTACTGGAGGTGCACCAAATGTTAATGTTTCCAAAAGATTCGCTTCATGTGGATGCGATAATTTAGTAAAAATTTGGGCTTATAGGTATTATCACGCACTACACTGCGTATGCTTTCATTTAATATTATTTATTAAACAAATCGGTTTCTTTTATAGTGAAGATACCAAAGAATGGAAAGAAGAGGGGACACTTGAAGGTCATACAGACTGGGTTCGTGATGTTGCATGGGCTCCAAATTTTGGGCTTCCACAAAACTACTTGGCCAGTTGTTCTCAGGTGCGAGAGTGTCGAATTCAGTTTCTTTATAAAAATAGTTAAATTAAACCAATCGATTTTTTAAAAATAGGACAAAACCGTCATAATCTGGAAAAAGAATAATCCTAATTCTCCTTGGGTAAAAAAATTTCTTAAACCTGAAAAATTTCTTGACGTGGTTTGGTCTGTAAGTTGGTCCTTGTCAGGTACAATCTTGGCTGTGGCGTCCGGTGATAATAAAGTAACATTGTGGCAAGAAAATTTGAAAAGTGAATGGGAAAAAGTACAAGAATTAGATGATTAAATATAATAATTATAATTATTTAATTATATAATATGAGAAAGAGAAAAATTTTTAATTAATAGTAAGAACATTTAAATTTATTAAAAAAAGCACCTATTATTTTATATTATATTAAAAAAAAAAATAAACTTGTATCTTAGAAAAATTAATAATATATCTATTTTTATTTGTCTAATGAGCTTGTTTCGTTTTCGTTAATAAATTGTATAAACTTTTCGTATTCTTCTTTTTCCATCGGATAACTATGTTCTTTCGCAGGAAATACTCCAGTCTTTACTTCTTCACGATAAGTTTTAATAGCATCAGTAACAATCTTATCAAGTTTTGCATAATGTTTGCAAAAGCTAATATAATTTAAAATTAATGGCATGATATTTAATACGTGACCAATTCACAAAGTATGAAAGTATCTCGTTATGACTTACCGAGGCATAAAACGATCAAAGATACCCAACATATCTTGTTGAACTAAAACTTGGCCATTTGTGCCAGCGCCCGCACCGATGCCTATAGTCGGTATACGTAATATTTTCGTGACACAGGTAGCAATAGGTTCAGGTATTGCTTCAAGCACTATAGCGAAACAACCTGCTTCTTGAAGACTTTTTGCATCTTCGATAAGTTTTTTTGCCTATAATATAGGCAAGGAATTAAGTAATAGGTAAGAAACAGTACAATTAAAATTAAAGCCACTTACTTTATCGGCAGTATTTCCCTGAAGTTTGTATCCACCTAAAGAAGATTGTCGTTGTGGTGTTAATCCTATGTGACCCATTACAGGAATTCCTATTCTTGTGATTTTTTGAATTGTTTCTAACATTTCTGATCCACCTTCTAATTTGACACCCTAATGGAAAATAATCACATATATAAGTAAAAACATAAATAAACTCGATCCGTCAAATATGCATAATACCTCCATATTTCCTTCTTTAACGAAACGAATTGCGTTTTTCAATGCATTTGTGGGACTCGTTTCGTAACTCCCAAATGGCATATCTCCAACCAAGAAAGAAGATTTTGCACCTCTAGTAACAGCTCGACAATGATGAAGCATCTCCTTTTGTAAAAATATGGTTAATATTAAAAAAAAAATTTACCTACTAAAATTAAATTTAATACCTCCATAGTTATTGGCGAAGTATTTTGATAACCTAATGCCACCATTCCCAATGAATCGCCCACAAGACAAATTTCAATTCCGGCCTTTTCGACAAATAATCCTGTAGGATAATCATGTGCAGTAAGCACAGTGATTGGCTCTTTACTTTTATACAATTTTTGTATTGTATTTATCGTAACTTTTGCCCTATCTAATTGAAACAAATCAAGTCAAAAATCGATTAAAATTTTTTTTTTTTTTATACAAAAAAAGAATAATAAATAAATCGTACTTGGATTGGATGCATTAACACCTTTCGAGCTATAAAATTGTTTCATACAGTAAATATTTTGGCGAAAACACTTTATCCCTAAATTTAATAGCCGTTTCTGCCGAAATGATACAAAATTCTTCATATTTGTTGTTGTTTTCGTCGTAGAAGAAGAGTCGGTAGATAGCGCCAATATCCATAATCCAATTACTTCTTTTAAATAGTTATGAAGTATAATACACGTGTAATTGTTTTATCCGAAAGCCGAGGTTAAAGGGGAAGCTCTTCGCGCGATTATGTTTATGTAATGTAAATCAAATCAAAAAATATAATAATATTTAAATTTTTGCATTATTATTAATTTACTATTTAAGTAATAAACATTTTAATATATTAAATTAATTATTAAATTTAGTATAAATAAATAAATTAACATAATTTCATCATCATGGTATGTATGACAAATTTTTGACGATCGGATAAATTTCTTCGGCTAATATCTGATATATTAAAATATAGTAAAGTATTCATTATGAATAGCGCAATATTACAAAAATTCGTCAATACCTCTGTAATTAACTCTTTTAAGCAGGCAGGAAAAGGACGAATCATACCATGCTTTAGTTCTTTACTCTTGCAAAGGCGAAATCTTGCGACTTCAAACGAAGTTACGGTGAGAGCATTTTATTTAAGCAATTGTTTTTTTTTGTATTTCCTTAGTTCTTATTATGAGTAAATTTAGTCGTTATTTACGGTATACGAATGAGCACAACTTAGTAAATACGGGATACTTAATAATATCGTGTGTTTTTTCACTTAAAAAATTACTTAGTATGGACGCGACTAGTAACATACAACTTGGATAAATATATAGAGTTCACAATATTTCACTTATATTTTGGCTGAATACCAATTTTTTATATACATACTTTTTTTCACCTGATCTTATCAATTATCTTCCCTTATTATAATTATCCTGGTCCTGGAGCATTATTCTTATTTCTGATTTAATTTATTTGTGCAACAGTGATACTTTTTAATGGTTATTATTATTTATAGATGCCCGTAAGAGATGCTTTGAATATTGCGCTTGAAGAAGAATTTATTCGTGATGAACGTGTTTTTTTGATCGGTGAAGAAGTTGCTCAATATAATGGTGCTTATAAGGTAAAGTGACAATTTAAAAAAATAAATTAATTATTGTACTCTTTTAATTTACATTTTTGATTTTTAATATTAGGTATCAAAGGGCTTACTCGACAAATTTGGCCCAAAAAGAGTGATTGACACGCCAATTACAGAAGCAGGTTTTGCAGGTTTAGCTGTTGGTGCGGCATTATCGGGGTTGAGGCCAATTTGTGAATTTATGACATTTAATTTTTCCATGCAAGTTAGTTAAATTCACGAATTATTCTTTCTTGTTTGTATTATAAATATTTTCACATTATATTTATTCTGTTATCAACTAAATTTATGTCATTCTTATTCATAAAGGCAATTGATCACGTAGTTAATTCTGCAGCAAAGATATTATATATGTCTGGTGGAACTGTAACATGCCCAATAGTTTTCCGTGGACCAAACGGTTCAGCTGCTGGTGTTGCCGCTCAACATTCACAAGATTACTCAGCATGGTATGGTGCTATTCCTGGGTTAAAGGTAGTTTCTCCATGGGATAGTGAAGATGCTAAGGGTTTATTGAAGGTATACAATTTTTTTTTTCCGAATTATTTATGACTGACTAATTGAAGCACCCTTATGAACTTAAAAGGCCGCAATAAGAGATCCTAACCCTGTAGTTGTGTTAGAAAATGAACTGCAATATGGAGTTTCTTTTCCAATGTCTCAAGAAGCAATGTCACAAGATTTTATTCTGCCAATTGGAAAAGCAAAAATAGTACGTGAAGGAAAAGATGTAACTATTGTATCACATTCAAGATCAATAAATTATTGCCTAGAAGCGGCTGAAAAATTGCATAGTGAAGAAGGGATATCCTCTGAAATTATTAATTTACGTTCAATTAGACCGCTTGATGTTAATGCAATTGTAAATTCAGTGAAGAAAACTAATCATTTGGTGGCAGTTGAAGCAGGATTTCCCCAATTTGGAGTTGGTAGTGAAATATGCGCTATAGCAATGGAAACGGAAGCATTTGACTATTTGGATGCTCCAGTAGAAAGGATAACCTGTGCTGGTAATTATTATATTATAAGGAAATAGTTGACATTAATAATTTTGATATTATATTTATAATTTGCCTAATCATTTCTTTTATTATTAGATATTCCCACCCCATATGCGGAGAATTTAGAAAATTTATCTTTTCCAAATACAGATGTAATTGTTAAAGTTGTAAAACGTACTTTATATAGAAAAAAGTAGCTAAGGTTAAATTCTACTTGAATTAGAAACCCCTATTACTATATTCAGGATTCTTAATTTTAAATTGATATTTTTAATTATATTATCTTCGAATTATCAACTTTTTCAATACTTGTTACGTGATAAATAGTTTTTTTAACAATGTAAAAAGAATTGGTAGTTAAAATCTTTTATCATGCATGTAATTTACATAATTAATAATAAAACCTGAAAATAATTGTAAGATTACATATCCTATATTTGATGTCTTATAGGTAGAGATACAAGATTTGTTAATTTTTCAAGACAGTCAGGTTTTATTAAATGATAGGATTTTATAAAATGTTAACTAATTGAGAATGATATTAAGTAGTTATATAAAGACTTCTGTTTGTTACTTTTATAAACAAAAATCACTAACATTAAACTACTATAACTATTATATATATGACAAACCAATAAAGTTGCAGATGTAACTATCTCTTATAGTATTACATTACTTTTTCATACATATAATATAATAAAATACTAGTCTAAAATTAAATGTAATAATGATTAATAAATAAGATAAACTTAATACAATATATATTGCATCTTATTATAACATTTGTTATAAAGTAAAAATTCTAGAAATCTCTAAAATAAATTATAAGTTATATTTTTAGCAAATTGGCCCATTTTTTAAAAAGTATAAAAATTAAAGTTATACAATTTTCTTAGCATTCAGTAGTCCAGTTTTAATGAACTTTTTTTTTTTATTTTATAATAACTTTAGGGAAGTGATACATATCATGTAATTACTAAAAGGGAAGAGGATTTGCAAAAATCTCACCAGTTAAATAATATTTATTATAGTAGCCAGAATTAGTTTTCTAGTTCGTAACTCTAGCTGAAATTAAAAATAAGCATTTGTTCAATAAAATTCTTTTCATATGATTTGTTAATATTCTTTGTTTTATTATTAACAGTATAATGTATTATATATTTATTCTTTATTTTAAGTTGTCTCACACTACTTTTTAAAGCACTATTTTTAAAAAAAAATTATTCAAAAAAATTTATTTTTATTACTTGGATTAATTTCAATATAAACCCCATACCTATAAAAAAAAAACAAATAAAAATATTAACAAGTGTTTTTATATAATAAAAATAAAATATACTCTTTCTAGAAACTTTTACCAGTTTAATTTTAAAATTCAAAGCTGGTACCTTCTTTATTCACCCTCTAATTGTATTTTCTAATCATTTATAATTAAAACTTGTACATTACATGTAAGTATAACTGAAAAATCGTCAATAGAATTGGTAAATATTTTTTTTTGGCTGGTCATTCTCATCATTTTGGATGTTAATTTTTTTTATATTGAGCAATCATAATAAGTGTTCTGGTCCCAAGACCTGATCCTGACTAAGTTATTTATAGATTTTATGAATTTAGTGATAACTAAATATAAAAAAAGTGATTTGTGATATTGCGATTCACTTTTTATATTGATTTTATATAAAAAAAGTGAGTTGCAGTATCGCGATTCACTTTTTTATATGATTTTAATATAAAAATGTGAATCGCAATATTGCAACTCATTTTTTAATATGATTTTAATAATATAAAAATTGTATTGCAATATTGCAGTGCATTTTTTATAATTTATTATTACTTAAAATCAAATTTACAATTTACAGCAAACTATACATATATAATTTAAACATAATATTATTTTATATAAATCTCTTATAACCTACACATTTAATGTTTATCTAATATATAATAATACTTTATTAGTTAGGACTTTTTAGAACCTGGTCTGCTTCTAGTCCAAAATTTGAACTTAAAAATCTGCAGACCAGATCCTAGGACTAGGTTTTTAGGTCTAGGACCTAGAACTTTACCATCCCTATTTATAAATGCTTGCATTAATTGAAGGATAATAAGCTAAGGAACTAAAATTCATAAGTACAAATCTTAGTTTATTTATTTATTTTATTATTACAAATAGTTACTAAAGGATTCAAACATTCAATAAGGCTACAAAACAAAAAAAGTTTGCATAAATTGGACTACTAGATGCCAAAATAATCGCAAAAAACGTGATTTTTTTTTGAAATTTAGGCCAATTTGCTAAAAAGTTACTCTCTGAATTGTATATATAATGTCAGGGTTCCTATTACTAATAACCATTTTTTCTTTTATTTTTTAGATTGCAAATAATCTTCTGAATAAAGAAAGTTAACTGAAATTCTAATTCAAAAGTAAATTTTGAATATTTTTTTATTTCTTTTTAAACAAAATGTTTGCTAACATTTTCATTTTTTCTTTTTTGTAGACTTACGGCCTTCTAAATAGGTTTCTAAATGAAATTTTAAAGGTATTTACTATCTTGTATTTTTTTTTGTTATTGTTAATAAAATATTCTTATTAACATCATTTCAATTTTTTTCTTTTATAGATTCATGATTTCTGAAAACTTTTCAGAATAAAATTTCAAAAGTAAAATTTCAAAATTATTTCATTTTTTTTATTTAAATGAAATATTAACTAACATTTTATTTTATTTTATTTTTTTAGATTTATAGCTACTAGATAAAAACCTATATGAAATTTTGAAAGTAAAACAGTGGTAAAACTTTAAAATTCTTTATATATTTTTTGTTACTTTTAATTTACAAAATATTTACTAATATTTCAGTTATTTTTTTGTAGAGTTTTAGTTCTCTGACTTTTGGATAAAAGAATTTTAAAAGTATACTTAAAAAAAAAGTGAATTTTTTTTTTATTTTTATTTAATAAATGTTAACTAAAATTCATTTTTTTTTTAATTGTAGATTCAGAACACTTTATTTTAAAGATAAAACCTTCAAATTTTTATTTTAATTTTTATTTAATGAATAATATTAATGTTTATTTTATTAATTTTTTAAGTTTCAGTTGCTGAAAACAGTTCTGGGTTTTACTTCAAAAGTAAAAACTTTAAAAAATTTTTTCTTTATTAATTTTTATTGACAAATATTAACTAATGTTTATATTACTTTTTTTTAGATAAAGAAAGTTGAAACAAGTTCTGAACTAAAGCTTCAAATGGTTCAGGAATCAGGATAAATCAGAAAACTGATCTGAAACTGGCTCTAATTCAGTTTAATCTGATCTTTATAATAATGCGAAAAATCAAATAGTCGTCCATTTAGTAATCATACAAAATTAAACTATATATCATTGGATTCCCCTTAATAAGACGCATCAAATAATGGTAAAATCATATCTCTAATATCAATAGATCACAATTTACAAGTTAACCTACACTAAATGATTTATAAAAAATTGGAATTAGTAAGCTATTTATCAATGTTAGAGACATAATAATCTTAGCACCATTTGACGTGTCTTAGTAAAACAAATCCAATGAATATTAATTCATTCATGTACAATCACTGAATGGCAAATAATGTCAAGTTTCACATTTTTTTAAAATTTTTGAGCATTTAAAAATTAAAATTCTGATACATGAATTTATTTGTCATTCAATTGTCATACAAATATAAATTAGGACTCATTAGATTCGTTTCAATGAGACAAATTGAATGGTGGTGAGATCACATCTCTAGCATCGATAGATAGCTTACTAATGCTCAACGCTAGAGACATAATCTCACTACTATTCAACTCATCTTATCAAGACGAATCTAATGAGTCCTAATTCATATTTGTATAACTACTGGATGATGAATAAATTTATATATCAGAATTTTAATTTTTAACGCTCAAAATTTTTAAAAAAATGTAAAACTTGATATTATTCGCCATTCAGTGATTGTACACAGACGAATTAATATTCATTAGATTCATATCACTGAGACACGTCGATGATACTAAGATCATATCTCTTTAATATTGATATATAGTTTGCTAATTCCAATTTTTTATAAATCATTTAGTGTAAGTTATTTTGCAATCTATCAATGCTAAAGATATAATCTTACTATCATTCAACACGTCTCATTGAGAGGAATCTAATAATATATGGCTTGACTTTGTACAATTACTAGATGGACAGCTATTTGATTTTTCGCATTTTTATAAAAATTGAATTAAATCAAACTGAACTGCCAGTTTTTCAGTTCAGTTCTTATGAATTTCAGTTCTAATCCAAATCGTCTATAATTTAGTCCATTTGGAGCTTTATTCTGAACTTCTATATTAAAGGTAAAACATTTAAATTTATTTTTTTTGAATACTAAAAACGTAAATTTTCATTACAAAACTAATATTTTATTTTTATTTTTATAAAAAAATTATCAGAAAATTTTATAGCATGAAAAATTGCATAAGTTTATGATTTTGTAAGTTTATGAAAGTTTATGGCATAATATTTTGAAAAATTTCAAAATATTACGTAAATTTACAATTTCGTAAGATTTATGTGATATTATGGTTAAAATATTACACAAGTTTTCAATATCGTAAGATTTACGCAATATTATGGTCAAAATATTCTACAAATTTACAAGACTGTAAATCTATGTAATATTACGGTTAAAATATTTTGAAAATTTACAAGACTGTAAAAGGACCCCGGAAAATACTTATATAGGTAAAGTCCCGAAAATATTTTTTATTAGTAGCTCTAAGCATAGGTTTTTACTATGATCGCTAAGCATTGTTGATATCTAACCTTAAAAATTATATAAAAATAAGCAAATCAATCTTCTAACCTAATTAAATTTTTATTATAATACATATAATTTATAAAATATATTTATTAATTAATATATTTTATTAAATCCAATTTTAAATATGTTGTGAAGCTAAAC